TGTTGCTCTGCCCTACGAGTTCCTAGTGCAGGCCCTCCTCCCTCCGCCCCCTGGACGCCGGTCCCTTGCCAACTTCGACCTGGGTAGAGGTACTGCGTGGAGGGGAGGGCGATCCGCGTCCACCGGGTCCCAAGTCAAGTCCCCAAGTCTCCTCAAGGGCCATCAACAAGCAAGCCGTGGCTGTCGTCGACCCATGTGCCTCCCGGTCTGCAAGTTGTGCGCATGTCTCTCTCTGTGCCCTCTGTCGATACCAGGCGCGGCTTCGTGGCCGGTCTATATCAGTCGTGGGCCCCCAAGGCCTCTCCAAGATCGTTTCCCGCCCCCATCGGTCTTCATCTCTACAAGTCCCAGATCTTCGGTTCAAAAAAGCCTCAAAGCCAACGACAATCCCGTCTCTCACAGCTTGACAAGACGTACAACATCACTGTCCACTCTCGCTCCAAGACAGCAACAGCAACAGCAGCATCACCAAGGAGAGGTCGGGCACACAGCATCGTCCATCACACGGGAGCCAACTCGACCAAGAGCGTTATTAGACCAAACGGCTGCCTCACTGTGCCGTCTATAACACTTCTTCTCTGCACCTTGGAACCGACAAACATCATCGGGCTCTTCTGCCACTTACACGACTCTTTCGTTCGCGGCATCGGTACCTCACACGCGGAAACGCCGCGGGCATGAACATCGCTGCAGGTGCGCTTCCTCGGCCCCACTTGAAAGCAGGCGCAGCAGCACAGCACAGCACAGCGCAGCGCGCAGCACCCTCAACTCAGTGTTCGTTCAGTGTCAACTAACAAGAGGGCGAGCAGCAGAGTGACGTGACGGCATAACTCACTGTGTGGCTTTGCTTCGGCCAAGGCGACAACACCTCGAACCCAACCAAGGACCAACAACTTATAAACAACACCAGCAGTCAGTCTGCGGACTTGACCGGCCACTCACAGCTCCAACAACAAAACCGACTTCATCCGCAACAATGGTCTCGATAGATCAGTCATATAACATGCTCCCCAAGCACCTGAGCTCCGAGCACGACGACTACATCCTCTACCCCGAGCCGCCCCAAGCAGTCTTCACCACCGCTCCCATGGAGATGACCATCCCTGCCAACGCCTCGTACATGTTCCCTACCTCCATGCCCATGGAGGCTTCTCCCGTCTACGAAAACAACTTCATCTACCAGGGACGCACCTCACCGAGCCTCTACGAGGACGGAGACTTCCAATTGCCCTCCTCCAACCTCTCCACCACATCGGCGCCCTCGGCGGCCTCATCCAACGTGGGCTCGCCGCAGTCACATCACGACCAGCCGGCGCCGGTGCCTGAATGGGCGCACCCCGGCATCGCTGTCACCCCGGGCATTGTGCCCCACGACTACTACAACACCACGGGTACTGAGTACTCTACCTACGCCGGCTCAGGTATGGAAGACTTTGCAGCTTTCGACTTGGTCAACACAAAGCCCCCGGGTTTCGTGGGTGAGTTGCAGAACGTCTCTAGAACCTCTCATTTCGCAGCCCCTCACCGGGTTTCCTTTTCTCCTTCGTCTTCTCCTTCTGCTGCTTCTGCTCGCGAGGCCGCCGCCGCTTGTCCACTGCGTGAGCCCGCCCTCATCTTGGACACCCGGCTGTCTTCGTCGCCCGAGTATCCCGCGTCGCGCAAGTCCAGCGCGACCGCGGCCTTTGCGTCTCCCTCTACTTCTTTCTCTTCTCCTCCAGCGCCGGCTTGGAGCAATTCGCCAAAGACGCCGCGCGTTTCTACTTTTTTTTCTCAGAGCAGTGGCCACTTCGTCGCCCCTCTTGGTTCTTCTTGTTGGTTTTCCTCTGTCAAACCTCGCCATCCCTGCCGACGACTCAGTGCTAACCAGCCATTCCCTTCAGACCCTTCCCTCATCCACCCCGACATCAGCCGCCCAATGCCGATGCCGGGTTTTGATCCCAACTTCCACCACCCTCAGTATCCCGCATCGCCCGCCCTGTCCGCTTCGTCCCAATCCATGGTCCGCAACGGCAGCCAATCGCCTTTCATGCACAGCGGCTTCCAGCAGCAGTTCAGCCCCTACGCCACACCGGCCGACGCCCGCCGCCCCAGCCTCCACTCGTTCCCCTCCAACTATTCCGATGGCAACGGCTACAGCGGCGACGAGTCCAAGGAGAAGCAGCGATGCCCGCACCCCGAGTGCGGCAAGACCTTCAAGGACCTGAAGGCGCACATGCTCACCCACCAGAATGAGCGCCCGGAGAAGTGCCCGATCGTGACGTGCGATTATCACGTCAAGGGCTTCGCCCGCAAGTACGACAAGAACCGCCACACCCTCACCCACTACAAGGGCACAATGGTGTGCGGCTTCTGCCCCGGGTCGGGGTCCGCGGCCGAGAAGTCGTTCAACCGCGCCGACGTCTTCAAGCGCCACCTGACGGCCGTCCACGGCGTCGAGCAGACGCCGCCCAACAGCCGCAAGAAGAGCACGGCCGCCAGCAGCGGCAAGAAGCTCGCCGGCTACCCTCCCGACGCCACCGGCAAGTGCTCGACCTGCTCGCAGACCTTCTCCAACGCCCAAGACTTTTACGAGCACTTGGACGACTGCGTGCTGCGCATCGTGCAGCAGGAGGACCCCGCCGAGGCCATCAACGCCAAGCGCCTCGCCGAGGTCGAGAACGACAAGGACGTGCACCAGACACTGGAGAAGAACCACCTCCCCACGCAGACGCAGATGCCGTCCACCGAGGAGGACGAAGACGAGGACATGGACGACGAGGACGACGAGGACAGCAAGCACCGCTTCAACTCGCCAACGAAGCGGAAGGGCAACCCCGTCAACGGCGTCCAAAAGTCGCGCGGCCTCACCCACTCCCGCGGCGGCGGCCCCATGCCCGTCAAGGCCAAGGGGCGCAAGAACCGCCGCGACTACCCCTCGTCGTGGGGCTTCGACAAGGGCCAGATGACGATGAAGAAGCGTGTCATGGCCGTCTTTGACGGCCCCCGCCGCCTGGCCAAGGACGACATGATGCTCTCCACGGACCACGAGGTGCGCATCAAGCTGGCGGACGGCAACAACTACGTGACGGACCTGGACGTGCAGACGCTCAAGCGCGCCGAGGGCTTCCTCGGAGCCACTGACGACGAGAAGGGCCCGTGGATCTCTGACGACCCCACCGAGGAGCAGCTCAGGGAGATGCAGGCTGTTCTTGAGAGCTTTGAGCAGTAATGGAAGGCGGCGGAGGCATTGAAGTCATCAATATTTGCTTGGCATGCGGTACTATATCACGGAGCTGGAGGGCGGCGGAGGAATCTGTTAGAAGCATGGCTGGCGCACGCTTGTATGGATTTACGACTGGATTACGAAGAGGAAATCTGGTATGAGGACTCATGATTGGATGGCTTGGTTTACACCGCAAAAGGTGCTTTGGTTGATACCCTAACTCTCAAGAATTCTTGTCTCGATCAAGACAATCTTTTCATCATCACTATGCATTCTCGTCGCCATTGGAGTGAAGTGTGTCTACTGCTGCCATTGGGGTGGACCGACGACCGGCGGCCTAAGGACATGGTGATGGACATGATGCCGCGGACCCTGGCGACGAACCATGACCCCATTTGGGCATGTAGACGACGGCCGTATCCTCAGTGCAATAAACCAGCGCCAGGCAGCCATGATACCTGAAACATTCGACCCGCACGCTGCCCTGGTCGGCGGCCAGGTCACGGGGATGTATTCGTGGTTGGAACAGGTCTGGCCCTGGCGTCGGAGAGGAAACGCGAGACCGGGGCAGGGGAGATGGGAATGACTTCATCAAGCCGAATTGTGGTCGGGATCTGGGCTGGACTCGGGAGGGAGGCCTGTGAAGATGACCCGTCGGGTCCAAGATCGAAAAATAGCCTACCATGCATGGAGGTATCCAATGTTTTTTTTTGTGGTGGATGGTGGGTAGCAGCAGGCACAGCACGTTGTTGTTGTGTGTGCAGGGAGGCAATAATGCAGTTTTCCGGGTGCGGATTGGCGGGAGCGGGTGCGAGGCACAGCACAGCCTTCCGGTCTGACCGGATTGTGCCCAGTCGGATCGCGTTGTGAAGAGAAGTGGAGGCTCAGGAGCTTATCTAATTCTTCCTCCAGGGATGGGACGGATACACCGCGGATGGAGAGCACCTCCCTCAAAGTCGTCAGCGGGGTCCCAGGTCCTGGGGCGGTGCACCGCAGTCTTCTGTAGATGTCCTGCAGGTGCGAAAGAAACAGCGGCGTGGCTATGTGGCTGTGGAGCGGCAGCATCCGCCTGGCGACCCACCGAAACAGGTACCTCGACCTGACGCTTTCGGGTCCGAGTCGGGAGTTGAGGCTCCTCCACTGCCTGGCCATATCATGCGCTGTATTTGCGAGGATGGCAGGCCTGAGCCCCCTGTATTTATGCCGTCTTGCGGCTCAATCGCACCCCGGGTTCTTGCCTACCTGCCCTGAGCTGTGGCAGTGTTTCCGCTGCCACCGCGCTGACAGCCGCCGCCTGTGGAAACGCTCTCCAGCAACTGCCCGCCTGCCTGTCTTCCATGTGCCTTCCATGTGTCTTCCAAAATAACTCACTTTGCACGCAACTCAGGGCATGCTTGCCGGCGGCGGGGCACAGTGACATTTCGTCGTGGTCGATCGCTGCCACTGCCCCTCCCCCTCCTTTAACGCACGCGACAAATTTTCCCGTCCAGGCGTCTGTCTGCCCACGTTGCGTAACTTTTACCAAGTTTCTTTTGCAACCCGAGTTCCCTGAATCGCCCGCGCTGCACAAAGACTGCCGGTGCTCGTCCTCGTCATCGCAATCGCAATTGCCCGGCCCCCTACCCCTGGCCTCGGACCTCATCCGCCGCTCCGCCTCCCCCGCGCGTCCTTCCGCCCTCGTCCCGTCTGGGCTCGCAGCATCCCGCTCGGTGCGTCGGTAGCCAAGCCCTGCCTCGCGGCCGCCGCCTCGAGTCCTCTCTTCCCTGCAACCCTGGCGCTCTTACGTCCTCCATCAGCCATGGCGCTCACGTCCCGCATCTCCCTCGTCGGCCCGCCCGCCGAGTCCCCGGAGGACTTTCTCATCAGCTCCCTGGGCGTCATCTTCCCCGACGACGTCACCAACCAGCACGGAGACGCCGACCACGGCATCGAGTACGCCTCCCCGCACCTCCGCAAGCCGCTGCGTTTCGACCTCGCCGAGCCCAGCGCCGACGACGACCGTAAGCTGTTCAGCCACTACCTGTGGAACGCGAGCCTCCAGCTGGGCGAGTTTGTCGAGGCTGGCACCCTCGGTCTGGACACCGTCAAGATCGATCTCGGCCCGCCCGTGTCGCATTTCAATGTCCGCGGCTTGACCACCATCGAGTTCGGAGCCGGCACCGCCCTGCCGAGCATCATGTCCGCGTTGCTGGGCGCCGTCCGCACCGCCGTGACCGACTACCCCGCCCCCGCCGTGCTCAAGACGCTCCGTGCCAATGCCGCCCGGAACATTGACGCCTCGGTCTCCCCCACCGGCGCCCTCACGGCGGAAGAAGTCCTGGTCGAGGGCCATTCCTGGGGCGAGCTGGACGACCCCTTCTCCGTCGCCAACAAGCACGCCTTCGACCGGGTTTTTGTCGCCGACTGCCTGTGGATGCCGTGGCAGCACGCAAACCTGCACAAGTCCATCGCCTGGTTCCTCCGGGACGGCCCCGACGCCCGCTGCTGGGTCGTCGCCGGCTTTCACACGGGCCGGCCCAAGATGCGCGGCTTCTTCGACGAGGCGGCGCTGGCCGAGGCCGGGCTGGAGATCGAGCGCATCTGGGAGCGAGACTGCGACGGCGTCGAGCGGGAGTGGTTGTGGGATCGCGGCATCGAAGACGTGACCATCCGGAAGCGCTGGCTGGTGTGCGGTGTCTTGAGGCGAAAGGCCTAGAAAACCAGACTGCGCTGCGCCGAGTGCATGACCCCTTCACTTATATTCTCTCTGCCCTCAAGAATCATCCAAGGCCAAGGCACACGCGCACACCTCTCACCTCAGCTGAGCACGATTTCTCGGGGGAACTTTTGCTCTCGCAAGGTCAAGCGCCCGCACCATGACGGCTAGCTTCCTCGCAGAGCCCGCATCGTGCCCGAGCTGGCCCCGGTGCGGCTGAGCTGGAACCCGCCCCTTTCAGCTGCAATGGGCGCGGGTGCCGCTCCCGATTGGCCCCCTCGTCTCCAGGTGGCTTGACCCAACGATGTACTGGGCCCTTTTGGTCGAAACATGGCTCACCTCTGCTGCTGTGTGTGCTCTGCCGTGTAAGTAAGCAGTTTGGGGACAGACACCGACAAGGCCAAGGTATTTGAGTATTCTGAGTATTTGAGTATCGTGGTCGGCTACGGCCGAATCGGGCTGGCGGTCGATCGCCAACAGACAAAGTGCCACCACCCATCTGATATGGAATCTTTAAACCTCGATTCGGTTTCCAAGTGCTCCCGCTTCCCTTTTCCGCTGTCGACGTGGTGGTTATTTTGTGTGTGCATGTGTGCATCCATCCGTGCCGGTATCTCCCGTCGTTCCGAACTGCTGTCTAGGCCAAGCTCAACGCATTCTTCCTTTGCGGCTCCGTCATGTCAGCGCCTCAGCCGCGCCCACTTACACGATTTAATGTACATTCTGGAGGTGAGGGTTGCGAGACATGTGCGTCATCAGATCACTAAGCCGGTCTGCACAACCAAGAACTTGGAGCTGAGAAGGCGAGCTACGCAAACTGCGTATAAACGAGTCTTTCTCGTCTTGACAGGGCATGTCATTGTCATGCCTACCGCTGGTGGCCTGGGAAATGAGCGGAATGGTTTGTCTGGCGGAGGTGGTGCGTCGCGGGCCTTGGGTGAATGTGTTGGCAGAAACGGCTGGATAACTACTCATCCAGACGATGAGAATTTGTACCTCGCCGGCATGGTGTCTCACGACGAACAGTCCGGCCACCCCCCGCATCCGTGGCCGGAGCGGACGGGTCCCGACGGCTGCCGTCAACCAGGTGCGCCATGGCGCGCTTTCGTATACCATACGGGACCGAGCCCTGTTCTCAATATCATTGTGTCGCTTGCTACCACTGAGTCTAAATGCCAAACTATGTACACGGCACGCTAATTCGGCGCCTCTATCGATGGTCCTTTCTCGTCCACCTTGACGATTAGATCGTGGTTCACGCGGAGGTTCTCCGCGGAGCTGAGCGCCTTGGTCACGGTCGTCTCGTGCCGCTCCTGCGTGATGCGGCGCAGCGCCGTGACGAGGAAGCCGGCGACGACGTCGACGGACCACTCGTCCGGGATGAGGGCCAGCACGTCTTCCACGTCGAACCAGCCGCCGAAGCGCTCGAGCAGCGCGCTCGTCTGCTCGATCTGGTCGCTGACGTCTTCAATCGCGAGGAACTCGCCCAGCACCGCGCGGAAGAGCCGCGCCTGCATGTCGTGGGTCGGCGTGCTCTCCCGCCTGCCGTCGGGACGCCTGTAAATGCTGGAGCCGCCGCGCAGACAGTACGAGACGGCCGTGTCGTAGTCCCCGAGCTTGTGCACCAGCAGCCGGATGGCGTCCTCGTGCCGTCGCTCACGCCCGTCCAGGATGATGGTCTCGGGGACGAGGAGCTCGTCTGGGAGGGCCGCGATGCGCTCCCTGATGGCTGCGGCGTCGTACTGGTGGGCCTCCCCGAGCAGGTGCAGCAACCGCAGGCGGCTGTGCCATACCTCGTTGTCCTCCGGCGCGTTATCCGTGAGGAACTGTCGGTAGGTCGGCTTGGGCGCCTGCAGCGCTCTGTACGCTGTGTATGTGCCGGCAAAGGCCTCTCGGCTTTCCGGGAACGACTCGAGATCGCTTATGACAATGTCCAGGTAGTATGCGATGAGATCGTTCACGTATTCCGTGTGCCCCTTGCCGAAGACGAGATGCTCGAGGTAGTACTTGACCGCGTCGGGCGCCTCTTCGCGGAGGATCTCCACGACATGCGCTGGCTCAAACTTGGCTGCCTTGCCCTTGTCCTCGGCGAACACCTGCACGCCCAGCTTGGGATTGCGGCTGGCAAGCCAGACGCCATACTCGCGGACGAGGGCCTGGCTGCTGATCTTCGTGAGGTACTCGCGGACGCGCTGCTCGCCGTCGCTCAGCTCCCCGCCGTCGTCCCGCTCGCCCTCGACGATGCGGCGCCACGTCGCGAGCACGTCGCCCGCCATCTTTCGGCTCTGGTACAGCCGGCTGAGCACGAAAAGACGGTGGTACGTCTCCAGGAGCCCGGCCGCCCGGTCGAAGCAGTCTACGCCCTTGTCGACAACGTCGTATAGCTCCGACCTGACGGAGGAACTCTTCTTCGCCAGACCCTTGGGAGACTTTTGGTCCAGCTCGAGAAGCACCAGCAAAAGGGCGGCGTCGACCGTCCGGAAGACTTCGCTCTCGTCAGCGACACTGCCAAAGCCCTTCTTCTTTCTCCAAGCCGCCAGAAAGCGCCGCAGGAACTGCATGACCTTGGTATCGAGGTCACTGACCGAATGGCTCGCCTTCTGGAAGTGCTCGCTCTCTAGGTAGTTTTCTGTCGTCTTCTTCACCCCGCCAAAGATCCAAATGCCCCTCCGGCTCTCGACGATCTCGTTACGCAGGCCGGGGACCAGGGAGAGGACCACGCGCGGGTCGAGGCTGCTGTCCACGAGGACCTCCTCCAGCGCCTTCAGCTCGCCGTCCGAGAACGGAGCCTCCGCCGCGTGGAAGAGGCTCGTCAAGAGCAGGACGCCGGCGCGCTGTCGCAGGTAGCTGAACGTCACGAACTCCAACTCTGACTTGGCGTCCTGGCCCCGGAAGGAGTTGAGGACCGTGAAAACCGCATGTCGGTCGAGCTTGGCGGGGTTGAAAGCACCATCCTGTGCGCAAGCAGCTTCGAGCCTGGCTTCGAGCCGCAGCAGCAAGGGATTGCGAACGGCCCACCATATGTGGTCGCCCGACCAGACTGCGATTCTCGAGCTGGCGTCGGCCAGCCGTCTTGCGAATTCTCTTTCTTCCGCGTTCCTGCTTTCCTCCCACCCTTCCGGCAACGCGTCTTCGTCCTGCGATGCAGAATCGAACAGCTCCCGCTCCTTGGTCATTCGCTCCAGGGATGAGGCAGTGCGTGCATCTGCACTCCGCGGGGAGAAAATCGGGTTTTCTAGCCCGCCTCCGGAAAAGGGCGAGAACTTTCTCTGGCACAGCCGGTCGACAATCTCCTCAAAGTGCGTCTCCTCCACGCCCATGAGGGATCTGATGCCCAGGGGCATCGTGGCGTCTGTGTCTGGCGAGTCTATCTCGAGCCACCATTTTGATGTTGTCGGCTCTGTGCCGTCAGAGTCCCACCGCTGGATTTCCAGCCCGTGACGCAGGCCGGTATCGAAATCCTTCGTCATGGACGCGATGACATAGCCTTCCTCCTCGTCCGCGAGTGCCATTTTGGACGACGACATGTCTGACGACCCGCCATCTACTACGACCTCCCTGGGATACCTGTCAAATTCGACGGTCGGCCTCGTAGGATCACCGTCGAGGTTCACAAACATGCCGATGCCGGGGTCGAGAGGCCCGGTGCCGGTGACAAGTAGAAACTCCTCCGCCGTAGGCGAGACAATGTGTGGCTTGAGGAAGACCGGCGTCGGCTTCGTCGGAGATGTCTGGGCCCCCGGCGCAGCAGGCAGTGGCTTGTCTGTCGACGGCGGGGGCACCTGGGCCTCGCCGGAAGGCCTCGGACTGGTCGAGGGGGTCGGTGGCGACGATCCCTGGAGCACGCGATCTACCGCCCCTTGCGGACTCTGGTCACGACGTCCGCTGAGGAGGCCACCCAGGCTCGTGCTTCTTGCATGTCCATGGGGGTCTCCCGCGGACAGCAGCGGTCGGTTCTGAGCCGCAGACACGCTCCTCAGAATCCCTCCGTCGGCGCTGCCAGCGATGTCCTGGGCTTGGCCAATCTCCCCCGCGGGCTGGGAATCATCCAGGGACGATATAGTCATCAACGGAATGCGAAGCTGTCTGTCGACGTCCAGCAGGGAGTAACTCCTGGCGTCCGCCACGCATGCGATAGAGTCTCTGCGAACCGATATCGTCGTTCCGGGCACGTCGATATTCTAAGCTGCGGTCAGTCGTCGTCGGGTGAGATGGAGGGCATGACTACCTTGACGGCCCTGGCGACCTCGCCTATTCTTACGACTTGGATTCTCCGGTTCAACGACAGGAGGATAAACACGCCCGCGGTTGGGTCGCCATCGTCATCCTGGGGCTGATTCAAGTCCACGCCGCCAACCCAATTGCAGTTCTTGACCTGGGTGGTGCCGAATACCGGGCTCAGCTCGGGGAGCGAGTAAAATGTGACGGTCGAGTTGCAAAGGATGCAGGCCTTTCCGACCTTGGGCAGCAGCAGGATCTGCTGCACGCCTGGGCGAGAGTTGCTAGACTCGGCAAACGCCGGCCGCAGCCTCGAAGCGAGTATAAAGGCAGGTCGTCCGGCTGGGTCGGCGGGGTCGGGAGGGATTTGGACAAAGTGAAGCAATTCGGATGCGCTCGTGCCGACGTAAAGGTTATGATCTAGACGTGTCAGTGAAGGCCAATCCGAGACAGCACGAGAGCCTCACCTAGGTACTCGACGCAATTGATCTTGACGCCGTCGCCGGCGCCATCTGCAGACAAGGGCACCTCGTCCATCAGCGTGCGCAAGACAAAGGGTCCCTCATTGCGGGCCATCGCATCGGAGCTCCCAGACGCAGACGAGCGCTGGTCGTCTGGATCTTCGGAGGTCATGGTCTGTCGCTTGTGCAGTCATCGGGGATGCTACGCCATCGTCTGCCGTTGCCCTTGCGCGGAGTCAAGGTCGTGATGCGATCGGTACGGATGCTGCTGCTGCGTTGCGTTGAGGCTGGCAAGCTCCGGCATGGAAAGCTGCTTGGTTGATGGCGGGTGGGTGACACCAGGTTCAGGCTTCCAAGTGCTCCAATAGCTCCCGCTCTGTTACGTAGGGCCCTACGTAGGCAGCCCGTTCTCTAGCGTCTTAGTGGACTCATGCACCTGGTTGCCGGCCTACCGGCGCAAGCATGTGCGGCGCGCCTGGGGGTGGCTCCGCAGGCACGATGATCAACTGGCTGCCTGTGCGCCCCTGGAAACCGCCTGCATCCCACTGATTGGTCACCTGGAAAGGGAACACGTTCTCGAACTCTGAGCTCAGCCGAAACACAACCACCTGAACGCAAGCTCAACAGCTCACGACTCCGACCCGGGAGCCCGTCTTCAGCGTCTTTTCTTGATGAAGTGATGAATTGAACCATCGACCGCCACAGACACCAACGTAGACATGGCAGACCTCGTCGAATCAGTCCTGGCCGCCGACGCCAACGCCCAGCATGCCGAAAAGCCGGGTCCAGCTATGCCGGACGGGGGAAACAAGTTCCAACATGCCATCTCAGCCTGGAGAAGTAAGGAGGAGCTTGTCCGCCGTGTGGGATTCGTTTGACTGACCCAGACAGCCATTGACTACACAAACCTCATTTCGAACCTCGACAATACCGCCTCCGAGATTGTCGCATACCAGAGGGATTCGACCGTCCAGCGAAAGGAGCTAGCACAGAAGACCAAGGACTTTAGAAAGCTTGATGATGCCACGAAACTGTCCGAGATCAAGGGTCTCTTGAAGGGTGCGTGTTTCGCCGCAGCGTAGCGACGTTTGCTGACTGTCGCAGCCTACCAAACCTTCATCGACCTCCTGACGAACCACTCCAAGTCAATCAACTCCGCCTTCCTGCAAGCCTACACGTCTCTATCCGATGCCCCGGACCCGTACCCCCTGCTCGAGGCGTCCGTCGACTCTATGCTCGTCTCCGAAGACACACTGCCGAAGCTCACCGAAGAGAACCAGCACCTGCAAAAGTCCGTGGCCAAGCTGACGACACAGCTGGAGGAGACGGAGTCGAAGCTGCAAACCGAGTCCGCGGCGAAGAAGGAGCTCGAAAGCAACCTGGAGAGCAGGGTCAAGGAGGTTGAGGCTTCCTGGGTTGCTGTTCTCGATGAGAAGAAGGACAACTGGGCGTCCAAGGAGAAGACGCTGGAGGAGAAGGTCGAGAATCAGGAACGCCTGCTCAACGAGATCAAGGCGAGCTACGAGGTCAACCAGCGACTGGGCAAGACGGACGACGGCGACCAAGAGGGACAGGCCCACGTCACCAGCGCCGAGATTGAGATGCTGCACTCTGACTTGGACCGGACGAGCGCGCGCCTGGCAGAGATCGAGGCGCGAAACGAGCAGCTGCGGCTGGAGCTCGCACAAGCAAAGTCGTCCATGCCATCACAAGCCCCTGTGGCTTTGGAGGACGACCCAGGATACATGCGCATGCGGTCCGAGAACTCGTCGCTCATCCGGAAGCTCGACGCGGCCCGGGTCGAGAAGGAGGGACTCAAGCGTGACCTTGACAGCAGGCTGCGTGGCCTGGAGAGGGAGGTTGGTTTGCTCAAGGAGGAGCGCGACAACCTCAAGGCCAAGGTGCAGAAATGGAGCGACTACGACGACGTGAAGCAAGAGCTCGAAGTGCTCAAAAGCATCGAGTTCTCCACGGGCGATGATGACGATGTGCGAGAGGCCACAGAGACTGCCGCCGAAGCCAAGAGCCAAGGCGACACGCTCGAGAAGCTGCTTCTGGCGCGTAACAAGAAGCTTGGCGACGAACTCACCATTCTACGCGTTTCCCACCAAGACCTCCAGACAAAGTTGTCCGAGCTGCAGGAGGAGATGTCCAGGACAAACATGGACCTGGAAAAGTCGCAGCAGTTGAACGAGCGGCTCGAGAACGACCTGGCGACGCTGCAGTCGGAGTCCTCAAATGCTTTCCCGTCAGGCGCGTCCGTAGCCGGCACCTTCAACCGGTACGCACCGTCCGTCGCGCCGGGGCGAAGGCCTGTCGGAGGAAGGGTGTCGCCCACGTCGTCAATCATCAGCAGCATCAACCCTCGCACGGTTGGCGAAGAGCCGATGGGCGGTGGCTCAGGTATCCTGCCGATGATCACGGCGCAGCGCGACCGATTCAAGAAGAGGATCGCTCAACTAGAGGGGGAACTATCTGAGAGCCACCGCACCATCTCGCAACTGCGACAGGAGGTGTCGGCCCTCCAGAAGGATAATCTCAATCTGTATGAGAAGACGAGGTACGTGTCGACGTACAACCGCGCCGGCCCGTCAGCGTCGTCGTCGTCGGCGGCATACTCTTCAAATCCCAACCCGTCGACGGTATCGATCGGCGGGACCGGAAACCCAGGCATCACGATGGACAGGTACCGCAAGGCGTACGAATCGAACATCTCGCCGTTTGCCGCCTTCCGAGGGCGCGAGTCGGCCAGGGCCTACAAGCGAATGAGCTTCCCGGAGCGCGTGGTGTACTCGGTGACGCGGATGGTCTTGGCCTCACGGACAAGCAGAAATCTATTTGCGGCGTACTGTGTCGCATTGCACCTCCTCGTCTTTTGTTCTCTATACTGGCTCGGCACGGTCGACGTGGAGAAGCACGCCAGCAACCTTGGCAAGTCGGCAGCAGGAGCCGCCGCAGCGGGCGCCGGCGGCGTCCATGGGGCCGGCGACGGTCACGGCGACTGGCACGAAGAAGGGTTCAACGGGCACTAGTCTCAGGAGGCTGGCAACGGCAAGGTCTTTGACGAGGCCGGCCTGTACGCACCATTTTGATATTGCATTTGGACGATTGGGCGGCGTCTGGCTATGTACGGATATGAATGTGGCATTAGTGAGATCTCATCAATACAGATAGATACCAGATCACGTAATACCCAGGGACGGCACCGTCCGCCAAGCGAGATCTTTTGGACAAGAATCGGGCACCGACCGCTCGTGGCTCTCCAGCAAGCGGTTCTATTCTTGTCGGGTTGTCTTTCCAGGCCTGCCACCCGATGTCAAAAAGCGGCACGCCATTCGACCAAGGCTGTTGGCGCTGGCCCGTCTCCGCGGCCCAAATGGGGTCTCTGCCCGCAGCCAATGGGACGGCGACAACAGCGTGGTCTGGCGCGCCAAAAGCATGTACAAGAGCGGATACCTGCATCGTGGGCGCGTCGCCGGGGAGAAGACGGGTACAAGGTCGTACCGTCCCTGCCAATTTCGACGGGCCTATGGGAGTCGAGTCTTGACGCGGTGTGCTATTTCGGTCTCTAGCCGCCCTGTTCGTGAGAGCCGTTTACCGGGCCGTCTCGCGGCAGCTGGAGATGGAGATCGCGGGTCGCGGACGAAGACGGGGTTGTAGACTGGGGCGACGAGGGCTTCGAGATGGACGGATGTGCCTTCGTCGCAGCCATCACCCTCTCCTTCTTCGGTCGCGGCATGTTTATTGGGGTTTCTGAAGCCCGCGGAGACATGTCCCCGCTACTCAACTTCGACCAAGCCTTTGGGCGGGCCGGGCGCTTGCATCTGAAAGACCCCGACGAAGATCGCTGACCATCCACCCTCCACTCCGACATTACGTGCATCCCGCCCTCCACTCCATTCGCTCTCGTTCAACTTCCCGCCCTGGCTCGTTTTCTATTCTGCCGTCGTACGGTTGCATGGCAGGGCGGCTGCCAGTCTTGGTCTCTGGCTCCTACGAATACCCACGCGTTGCCTTGCACACCACATCGGGAGACCCTGGCCCCCTCCCCGCCATCTTTTTCGAACCGCGAGACTATGCCGGTCTTGGCAGGTCGGTCCCTGCCAAAATGGAGAGCGGCCAGTCGCTCTGTTTGCCGCCAGAGGGAGGGTTCATGATGTTGTGGTATATTAAAACCGGCTGCCCGCTTGACTGCTTGAGACTCGTTTGTTTTCCACCACAAAGTCTAGCTCATATATTCAGAGACGAGTATTTCTTTCCCTTTCCTTTCCATTTCCGTTTCTTCGTTGTTTCCTATCTTCGTTTCCTTGGTTTCGGTTTCCTTGCTTGGAATTGGGCTGTATTTTCTGACTGTTGGTAACGGGCACAATCACACGACGACCGGCAACACCATCACCAACACCAACACCAACACCGCATCAGTCCGCCCCCATCAACACCAACATGCGTTTCGCGACTCTGTTGGTGCCAACCCTGGCATCCCTCGCCCTGGCGGCGCCCACATACCCCACCCTCAACCTCAACTCAGCCCTGCCGGGAAATATTGAGGATATTTCCGAGTACTTCAACATGCTCGCCACCAAGGTCCAGGCGCTCAAGTACCTGTCAGCCGAACCGGTCTGCGACCTGACCAAGGCCAAGATGATTTCTCGTGGGTGGCCCTTGCTGGCGCGGGTCGACCATCGTAAACTGACTTGACCAGCTGCCGAGGACCTCCCTCCACCGTCCGCGGGCCTGACTCTCAAGCACGTCGCCATCGGCCGCGGCACCCAAAATTACACATGCGACACCAGCAACGCAACAGCTGTGCCCGTCGCCACTGGCGCCAAAGCCACGCTCTTCAACGCGAGCTGCGTGGCTGCCATGTACCCCGACCTCCTCGAGAAGCTGCCCTCGGTCTCGATGCAGTTCAACCTCACCGACAGTGACGACCAACAGCGACTCGGCCCCAGCAGCCTTGCCATCTCTGGACACCACATCTTCCCCACCACCGGCGTCCCGTTCTTCCAGCTCGCGACCGATGGAGTCGAGATTGGTGACGCATGGTGCGCAAAGAACTCTTCCATTGCCGCGCCCACCATGGCGGCCAAGGGACAGCAGGGTGAGGGCGCCGTGCCGTGGCTGAAGCTTCTTACGACGGCGGGAAGTACCGGAAACCTTCAAGAGGTCTACCGCATCACCACTGTTGGCGGCAGCGCTCCCGCTACTTGTCAAGGCCAGCCCGCCGCATTCGAAGTTCAATACGCTGCCGAGTGAGTCTTCCAAACATGTCCCGTCTGCGCAGCATCGCTAACAGCCTACCAGGTACTGGTTTTACCAAGGCAAAGCGCCCGTCAAGTCCGCAGCCTCTTAGGGCAGGAACAGCAATAAAATAGTGTTAGTCCATGGCGTTGGGGGGGTTTTCTATGAAATATGCACAAGTTTTCTTCGATATACCATCATGTATTTCCACGGCATCCCGTGGCTGAGTTGGTCGGCCATTGACTGAGCCGGTGGATAACATTGCGATAATTTTAAATGACCGAGTCACATTGTTTGCAAGCGAGCGGCATCGTGACAACTGTACGAGTTCCAGAAGCCTCTCAGGCTTCCATGCCCTGGATTCGGCGTCTGGACTCTCCGACCCACCCGCTAAACCTACCTACACTAGGCTTACCTACGGCGGCACCTGGCCCCCGGCCATTGCCGCAAATCCCCGCCAGCCGGGGCAGGTCCGTGGGAAGCAGGCAGCTCAGGGTGCCCGAACAATGAGGTGATTGGAGCAGCGAAACATTTGCCATGCCATGCCACCCCCGCCCAAGCCCAGGCCACATGTGCAAAGTCTCTGCAAACAGCCAATGGCGAGTACGTGTGCCCTTCCTTCAGGACGCCAGAAAGAAAAAAGTGGCTCGCAAACCACCCTCGGTGACTTCACTTTCACTCGTCCCAAAGACGATCATCCCTCGACCAGACGTACTTTCTTTCCAGCTTTCGTTCTTGCAATCAACCTCCCAGTCGCCAGCGTTCGTCGAGTCTCGTCAAACACTCGTCGCAACAGAACTCCACGATTTGTTTATCCTGTTCCATTAGCACCTTTTAATTACATACTCTCAAGCCGCGGATCAGCCGTCACCCGCTCCCGCCTGATCCACCCCGACAGCTTCCATTGCGACTACAAACAAACCTTTGGCCGACCCTCTGGCCAGCAACATTCGTACACAGTCGTTTTATCCGAAAATAGACTTCCGCTTGCTTTTCACGCCCGTGTTGTAGTCGACGGCAAAGTCCATCGACCGATCTCCCGGCAGCCGCGACCGACGACAACTGCCGACCGAATTGCCTCGACCAGGCAATCCAACCCATGAGTGGATACCCGAACGGCCATGAGTGAACGGGATGCAGCGCTGGAGATGCCCCGGAAACGACGAAGGCTTGACTCCATGGCTTCAGACCCGCCGCAGCTCACCTGGCCGCCTGCCCAAGTCCCTGTCGAAATCTTTGACGAAATCACCACCTACCTGTCTCGGACCGACGTCAAAAGCCTGCGACTGGTCAACCACGAGTTCGACCGCATGGTCTCGGCCAAGTACTTTCGCAATGTCGTCGTCCCGTTCCGGTCAGAGATGTACAAGGCCCGGAGGAAGGTGGCATGCGAGGAGGATGAGGAAACGACCCAACCATGCACCGACACCCTGTTTGCCAGCGGAATGCGCATCTTCCAGTCCTTTGGCAACCACATCTTGCGGTTCGCCCTGTCGCTGGAGCTGGACGAAGAGAGTCTGGCATATCCCCCCATCAAGCCCACGCAAAAGGCCGTCACCTCTTACTGGGGAATCTACCGGTGGCCCCACGAATCGTATCATCGGTACACGGAACTCGAAGGACTCGAGCAGACCGCCGACGAGACCGCATCGATGAAGGAGGCGTTGAAGTGTCTGAAGCACGTCCAGGAGCTGGGCCTCTGCTGCGACGCCGGGCTGGGCTACCTCTTGGGGCCGGACCAGCAGCTCGAAAGCCCGCCGCTGCCGCATCCAGTTTTCGGCCTGCGCAATCTGCGGTATAGGCTGCTGCAGCGGCGCTTGGCGCGAGCCGAGTCGGCCAACATGAATGCCCGCAAGCTTGCCTTTGAAAGTCCCCGCGACTTCAAGTACACAGTGCTGGAGTCGATGGTCAAGGATGCCGGCTACTCGCAGGAGCAGGTCAAGGAGGCCATCAACATGCTTCTCAACACGGAGAACGTCTCGCTGATGAACATTGACTTTGACGAGCGCACCGCCTCCGTGCCTGACCTGGCCATCAACGTCTTTGCCCAGCAACAGCATCCCAACGTCAACGCAAACCCCGTTGACGGAGACGCAGAAGATGCTGCGATCCAGCGCGCGGTGGCTTCGGCGCTGGCTGATACAACCACCGGCCACCCTCTGCAGCCCAAGAATCTGACACGGGCCCAGAAAGAGATGCTTCTGGAGCTCGAGTGGGCTCACCGGGCACTCATCCAGTCCTACGTCATTGCCCTCAGCGACAACGCCCGCACAAACGACTTTAGCTCACTGACGACCCTGACGATCGCCAAGATACCCAGCAGCCACCTATTCATGTTCCAGCGGCAGGACTTTTGGCAGAGCTTGCCGAACCTCACAAACGTCGCCCTCGCAGTCGTGGCAGACTGGCGCCAGGTCGCCAAAGTCGCACCCGGCTGTGTCGAGGACACCTTCGTCTCGCCCGTGGATGCCGTCGGCAGAGCCTACCGCGTGCTGCGGGACTACATTGGCAAACAGAAGAATATCTCTTACCTACACTTTGAATGGATCTGCGGCGGCGAATTCGCACCGGGTATCACGCAGCGCAACCACTACGTCCTGCCCGCACCCTTCTGCATACCCGCGCATATGCCGGCGCTCGAAGCCGCCAAGTCGCCAGACCTCTTGCTTTCCCTGCCGCACGTAAAGCATCTCTCCTTGAAGAACTGTTACAGCGCGCCACACGTATTCTTGCAGGTGATCCGGTCCATGGCCCTCCAGTCTCTGGAGAAGCTGGAGCTGGAGACCGTCTCCCTGGCTGGGCCACCTGTACGACGGCAGGGCTATGCAGCCTTTTTCCACGGGCACCTGGCCGCTCCCGCTGCTGCCGCACAGCAAGGCCAGCAACAGCAGGTCTGGCAGTTGCAGCCCGTCCAGGCCAACGGGCAGGCTCTCCAGCCGCCACCGTTGCCACCCGCACCCAACCAACCAGGAGCAGCTCCAGCCCAGCTGATCAATATCCCGCTCGGAATCCTGGCCCAGGGCCCGGCGCAAATAGCTCAAGCGCTCAACATCGGTGCCCAGAATGCCCAGGCACCGGCGCTGGCACAGGCACCGGACCCTGTCACCCCCGAGTGGGACACCATGCGGCTGCGGGTGCCAGACCTGCTCACTTGGACGGGCGTCATCGAACGGCTCGCACCAGTGCCTGGCATTGCAGAATTGTCGGCTACGCAGGACAATGACGATGAAACCGAGGGGCTGGACGATGCTGCAACGGACGAGGGCTACAAACTCATTCCCAGGGCAAATCTCCTGCGCAAGGAGAAGAAGAGCTTTTGTCTCGAGAGCATGTCATTCAAGTCGTGTGGGTACGTGGCGCTGGATGTGCCCTTCATCGACAACACCAACACGCTGCCGCTGCGCCCCCCGTGGCAGGAGCCGCAAGAGATCACGACGCGGCGAAGGGAGCTGGCGCCGTTCATGCAGCACTGCAACGACCGGCTGGCGGCCAAGATCACCAATTTCTTGCCGCCGCAGGAGCGTTTCAATCTGGCGACTGCGTACGGGATGGACCTGACCTGGGCATCCTGGTATGACGAAGAGGTCATCGAGGCAGCGAAGAGGGACGGTGTCATGGTTCCCGGCAAGGGCCGCTTCAGCGGCACGATTACCACGACGGCCAACTAGTATGAAACGGCCGTGGATTCTGTGTATTTCAACTTTGGGGACTGACCGGCGTTTGGACAATGATACCACGGGAAAAGACTGAGACGTGTTGGACGTCATAAAAGCACTTTATGAGTTTTGAGACAGCGAGGACTAATTGAATGCATATCCATTTCCGTTTGACGCCAGTCATGAATGCTCATCTAGGACCACTTTAGGGAATCACTTTTGCAGGTTTTGTTTATTGGTGGCCCATCAGACCTTTGCGTGAATTCGCATGCCAATCCCTAAATGCCATGAGACCATAGCCATCCTGTACACCAGCATATGAAAAGCCGCATTTTTTTCCACGCATCCATCAACCCAAGACCTCCCAGGTTCACGTTACACCAGTCATACCGCACTCGAAATCAGGTCGCTTATGCGGCGGTGATGGCCTGGCGGACGCGGGCACCGCGCTGGCGGGAGTTGAGGCGGACCTCCTCACGGCCAACGACGGCATCGGACTTCTGGACGACCTCCTCGCCCTCGGTGAGGATCAGCTCAATGTGGCAGGGGTTGGACATGTAGGGGTTGATCTGCGGCTGTTAGTGGCGGACGGCGGGTCGAGTGACAGAGTGTACGTACGCGACCGTGGGCACGGTATGTGCGTCTCCGTTGCTTGGGGGCCTGGTTGACCTGGATGTGCTTGACAACCAGGTTGCCAGTGTCGAGACCCTTGGCGTCGGCGTTGGACTCGGCATTCTTCAGGAGGCCGAGGAGGAACTCGGCGGACTTGACGGGCCAGCGGGCGCGGGAGACACCGAACTGCTTGCCTGGATTGGGGGTCAGTACTTCGTGTGTCCTCCTCTCGTGGTTCATCTTCGACCCCGCGTCGTCGACGACAACGATCTCGGTCCGGGACATGTCGTACCTTGCGCCGTGCGGCCGATGGAGCCGGCGTAGCGGCGGAAGGGGACGGCCTCAGCCTTCTCCTGGACGTTCTCGAGGAACTTGACGGCGCGCTGGAGCTTCCAGCCGTTGATGGCCTGGGCGGTCTCACGGGTGTTCTTGAAGGACACGCGCAGGTAGGAGCCGCGGGCGCGGGCCGACTTCTCGCGGGCAATCTCGGTCGCAGCGTAACGAACCTATGGGCAGGCCATTGTGTCAGTCTCGTGTGCACATCGTCTGCGGTCTGCGATCCTCCCCCCGCCTCGGTCCCGGTGATGTCGAATTTTCGTCATGTTTTCCCTCCCGGCACTTTGAAATGCAACCAGGTTCTCGGCGACGGCGGCGGCGTGGTTTTCCAAGGGCGACGACGGGTCTCCTCGCGAGGACCTCACAGATGGGGAAGCAGCAAGCACTTACCATCTTGATCGTTGGGTGTGGTGATGGTTTCGGCGTCGGTGGTCGTCGTCTGGGCTGGCTGAGTGAGTTAGAAGAAATTCACAACTTTGCTTGACCCTAGCCCTTCAGCGCGGGTTGGCTCGCTTGCGGATCGGGAAACGGCAGGGGTCTGCCTTAGGGCTCCGCAACCCTACGGGGTAAAAACGGCCATTTCCAGCGCCAGTCTGGGAAGAAAGCCATGGGAGAAAATGGGCGTACCTGGCGTTTGACTTGTAAGGTCGCGACTGAATCTACTGCGTCGAAATGGCAGCCGATTTGTGGTTGTCGAAAATGATGGGAAATATTTCTTGTCTCGCGTGCAGTGCCTTCTCACCACCAGTGCGACCCTTTCTGGCAGTTGCCGATTTTCCAAAAGAGTGGATACCGTCTTATCTAATCGGAAAGAAAAATTCATGTTCGGAGGCCGGTAAATCTCAGCTCCGCGGTGGCCAATCACGAATGACACCCCACATCCAACGCATGTTTGGACCTTGTAGCTCTCTGAAAAAAAAAAAAAGTTGGAAAATTTCTATCTCCAGTAGTCTCCAGCGCCAACCCGCCCTCAGAGGACACCATCTGCACCTGCACCTCTGACCAATTCGACTTCTCACAACGCGGGACTGGCAGTAGTCTGACGTTTATTTCTTTCATATACCCCAACATCCGATAAGAGACAATGGCTCCTTTCCAGGCTCGTGGCGGCGCCGGCGGCAGAGGCGGTGGCCGTGGTGGTTTCGGCGGTGATAGAGGAGGTCGCGGAGGTGGTCGCGGCGGACGCGGTGGCTTCGGCGACAGAGGCGGAAGGGGAGGTGGCAGAGGCGGCTTCGGTGCCCGCGGAGGTAATTAACCATATCGATGGCGATGCCAGAGCAAGAAGCTGACGCGATAGCAGGCGGCCGTGGTGGTCCCCGTGGCGGCGCTGGTGGTCGCGGTCGTGGAGGTGTTGGCAAGCCCGGTGGTCGCGGCGGACGTAAGCTTCATCCACGAGTCCCCCTTGAGAGAGAAACAGCTTTGAGCTAACAGCGCGCACAGCCAAGGGAATGAAGGGAGGTGCCAAGGTCATCGTCGAGCCTCACCGTCACGAGGGTATCTTTGTCGTCCGCGGCAAGGAGGACGCCATCGCAACCCGCAACATCGTCCCCGGCGAGTCCGTCTACGGCGAGAAGCGCGTCTCCGTCGACGACGTTGTCCAGAACGAGGACGGCACCACCACAACCACCAAGGTTGAGTACCGCGTCTGGAACCCCTTCCGCAGTAAGCTTGCTGCCGCCGTCATCGGTGGTCTCGAGAAGATGTACTTCGGCCCCGGCTCCAAGGTCCTCTACCTCGGTGGTGCCTCTGGTACTTCCGTCTCCCACGTTGCCGACATTGTCGGTCCCACCGGCTTCGTCTACGCCGTCGAGTTCTCCCCCCGTTCCGGCCGTGACCTGATTGGCATGGCCGCCAAGCGCACCAACGTCGTCCCCATCGTCGAGGACGCCCGCCAACCCCTCAAGTACCGCATGCTCATGCCCATGGTCGACGCCATCTTTGCCGACGTTGCCCAGCCCGACCAGGCCCGTATCGTCGCCATGAACGCCCACCAGTTCCTGAAGGTCGGCGGTGGTATCCTCATCTCCATCAAGGCCAACTGTATCGACAGTACCGCCCCCGCCGCCAAGGTCTTCGCCATGGAGGTCGAGAAGCTGAGAGCGGAGCGCATCGCACCCAAGGAGCAGCTCACGCTAGGTACGTCTCGTCCAGTTGCAGCCAAGAGCCCGCAAGCTAACAGTCGCAGAACCCTTTGAGCGTGACCACTGCCTCGTCGCTGCCGAGTACAACCGCTACGCGAAATAGATAAAGATGTATGTGATACGCGGAGAGGGATGTTAGCGGTTGAATCTGTACATTTGCGAGATTCCCACGATGGTTAACTTTTGCTTCAATGGGTTTGGTCAGGTCGGACTTCATCTGGACAGGCGTTAGGAAAAAATTTAGGACGGTCTAGTTCAGAACTTTGCATGTTAACCCATAGGTATCAAGAGTACTTTATGAACGACATGTCATCAGTCTTGTACTCCATTCGTCCCGGTAGTTAATTGCAGTTGATTAGAAGTTGATGCTCAAGGGCTGGTCGTTTCCACCACTCGTCTCACACGTCAAGTCACTCGATTTCCTCGGCCAAACGCGATTCAGCCGCTGCCGCCGGCGCTCCACCCATCAGTGACCCATCGAGCCACCGTTCACTGGCCCACGACCCCAACGTCGGGTACGCCTCTCTCGTTCCGCCGATTCTCCACCGGTCCGCATAGCAGTCGTCCTCCACGGGCACTCGTGCAAAGTACACGACCCGCTCCTGCTCCGGCTGCCACTCCATCGGCTCCGCGGGGCCGCCTGCGCCGAGGCTGTCTGCCCAGGCCTCCACAACCTGGCGTTGCTGTTCGAGGAGGGCCAGAAGCTGTCGGCGGAAGTGGTAGTCTTTCTTTGCCTCGCGGCGCTCGGGCGGTTTCTCGCGGCTGTGGTCTGGCAGCCGTTGGGGTCGCTCCGCCGGGTGGCGTTTCTTGCTGCTCGAGCTAGCGGTGTCCTGTCGGGTACCTGGCTGGCCTTGGTGCGTGTCATGTTTGGGGCTGGGCTGCGTCTTGTCCATCAGGTAGTCACCGTCAGTGTCTGTCACAACTTCGTGACGGCGGTGCTTTCGATGCTTGCGCGGGCGGGTTTCGCTGTTTGAGTGACGGGTAGATCGGCTCTTCCTGTCGCCGACGCGGTCTGCTCGGGAGTCGTCCCTGGCCTTGCGTGAGCCGCTGCCAGAGTCCAGCTCCGGCCTGCGGTTGGTCGAGCAGCGGTCGGATTGGCGGTTGCGCGCCATTGTTGAAGCCCCAGCCCGAAATGTTGTTCAAAGTCGGTTTCGAAAGACTCGCTGGCCGGAGATGGCAGATCAACGACGGGGTACTTCTGAATGGAGCCTTTTGTACGGCTGCATCGAGAGGACGTTCTATTATGGATGGCATAGGCAGCCTCCTTCGCCTCGAATCAAAGGTGGAAGAGGCTCGATGGCCCCATCCGTGTTTCTGGGCGAGGGCCGGAAATGCGGAAGAGGGCAGAAGATACGGGCTTGTTAGAGCCTGAGTGAATCATCTTGAAACTCTTTCAGACCTCTTTCGATCACCACCTAATCCTTTCCGTGGGCTTAAAGAGGTGGCACATGAGAATGTTGTTCACCCAGGGCCATCTTTGTTCTTGAGCTCCTTCTAGAGCGCCATTGTCAGCTCTGGAGGCTCAGGCTTCAGGCTCGACCCTCGAAGGCATTGGATAATCACTTGGTATCAACGCAATTTGAATCCTAATATGAAGTTCGGCAGCCTGAATTCCATACGTCCGGGATCAGAGACTCTAGCCTTGCTCTCCCGGCCGTCAGCTGTGAGGTTCCTGATCCTTTTGTTCGCTGTATCCAGGTCGGCAAACATGGACGCGAAATGGATGTTTCTGGGCCCGTCTGTGATCCAAGGAGAAGGCTCGCGGCATCCCCTAGCAAATCACATTACGGTGGCCGCTTCAAGTTTGATTCCTCATATGCGCAATTTTTCATGGAGCGGACGCGATCAGCACCGCCTTGGAGTCGAGAAGAACGCTACTGGGCCATGACCACCCTCAAGTTGGCATTGGAGATGGACTGAACGCATCAGACAAACCACAAAGAGCAGCATCGTCCTCTCTCGATGACTTAAAAGCCGAACCGCGAGTCCTTTTCCATCGCTTAGACGGCGTCTTGGCATGTCTCTGCTTTATTCGACAGCAGGCCAGGCAACACACGGGAAAGCTAGCTCACAACCGGTCGACAACCTCGGCAATGATGCAGCCCTCAAATGCCCAGATTGGGGGACCATTCAGTCTGGCCATGTCCGGGAAGATCAGTGCTACTCGCACTGCTCCAGGTGTTCTCTTGGTTTCTGCCAACCCCAATCCGCGTGGGTCCAAAACTGATTCCTCCCTAATGGACCGTCCCATGTCTGTCGATCAAAGCCATCAGTCTTGCTGCCATATACCCGTCGTCAATTGACGGCTCCGTGAGGTAGATCGGGCAACTAGTAATTCTGCTAGCCCACCCAGGCTGGCAACAGCCAATGACTTTCCTAGCCACGGCTTCCCCGTCACACTTGTCGCCGACCGAGGTGATGCCTCACGAGAGCTAGACCCAAACACAACCCCCGCAGTATCCTCCCGGCCGAGTGCGTGGCAAGTGCGGCACATTCGACTCTTTTTGGACGTGAGCGGTTCTCAGCAAGTCGAAACCATGGACATCTCGGGGTAGCGTAGCAGTGCTTGTCGAAATACTCTGAACGAGACGCACAGACAGACCGCGGCTCGCCTCCGACTGAGCAGGCAGGATGGTGCTCGACGCTGACCCCTGTAACAAGAGTTCATTCAAGACAACGGCGTTGGTGGACTTTACTTGCCTGCTGCTCGATTCGCAATGGGCCTTGCTGCTGGGGCTGAACGAAGCCAAGCCGCTAGGCCATGTGCTCCTCCGCATTTTGGCTGGTCTTCAGCAACGGCGTGAGGGGAACATGTCATTCACACGCTCCAAAGCCTGGATTCGCGTGTGATTAAACCAGAAGCCAAGGCCGCACCCGAGATTCGGTTTAAAGCCAAACCATACCAACGGTGAGCCATCATCACCCATGGGCTTGGCTCGGTGGCTTGCTGTCTGCGAAACCGGTGCTCCCTCACCATCGACGGCCTTCCATATGTTGCAGGGCTGACTAGCGTGAGTTGCGGCGATTCGAGAATGTCTCTCCTGATTACGATGGGCGTGATTTCCCCTTCTGGTGCCGGTCTATTAAAGATAAAATGAGCAGATGCCCATTTGGCGCCCTCCTCCGTCGACCGTTTGATTCACGCCACCTGTTTCTGGACTGGGCATCGAATATCGGAGGGAAGGGGTTGACTATGGCGCACGGGTGTGCTATTTCAGTCGAGAGCTTCTCCTGTGCCTTACAGATGGATCCGTAGGGTTGGGATGAAATGGCTGAAGAGGCGGCGTGTTTTGGCTTGGGAAGCTTGCAGTCGCGTTTCCCCGAAAAAGATGTCCACCACCCGGGAAATGACCCCACTTTCCCCCGCTGGAGTTGGCGCAAGGATCAATGGGTTTGGGGAAAATGTACGTGCCCACTTGGGATGCTACCCTCCCACTGTCATCACCACAACCACGAAGCTCTTTGGCTGCTTCATCCTTGTCCTTGCTCATCACCGTCTTTAGCCCTGCATCTCAGAATCTGCGCCCTCTGCCTCTATCATGCTTCTGGCCTGTTTCCCCTCGTCCAAGGCCTATGGCTAATCAAAGCTTGGCCCAGCCCTCCAGGTTTCTCAACCCCGAATCTCGCTAGAATCATCTCGTCCAGGCCGACCTTTGACCATGCAGCGGAACAGCTGACGCCAACATGATGCATGGCTCCCCAAGTCGAAGGCTTGATTCAGCCAGCCGTTTTATCCGTCAACCTGCAGCAGCACGTCGCTCGTGGCTTCTCCGAGGATACGGCACCCCAACACTTTAAGCACCGTCATTGCGCTGCCACGTCTTTGCCTCGTCCCATCTTCAAACGAGAGACGACACTTCAGACGGCAAGCCGACGCCTCCATCTTCAGCAGCATCAAGCACCATCTGTTCGCCGGCACCTCGAGCGCGCTCGCGATGGTGGCGTTCCCACGTGGTCAGCGCCGGCATCGTGCCGTCAGCCAGGTCAAGGGAGGCTACGATGCGATAACTCAGTTGAATCTATCAGCCGTGTGCGATGCTATTTCGGGTTGGACGTCGTCCTGACTTTTCGTCAGCCCTGCGCCAGCCAATTATCGATTCACCGTTGACACTCAAAATGGGATGGTCTTGATTTCGTGGCAGAGGTCGCAGCTCTCCTCTGCCTGCACTGCCGTGCTACCAGGACGTCGGGTAGGATGGTACTGCCGCGTTTGCTTCCGCTGACCTGCAACCCGAAGACGGTTGCCATCTCTCTCTCTGCACCTCGCGGCTCAGCTATCAAGCGAATGCCTCGGATGGAGTCGTCCGCCACCAAGACCACCAGCGACTGCAGGATGGATAACACGAGTCGTCTTGCTGGAGAATCCCGAGTACCCAAAGACGAGCCTTCTAATTTGCTGCGCCCAATCCCTGCCATTTTGTGGCTTGACAAGGGTTTCACTAAACGGGTGAAGTCGTCGGTCCCCCAGAGTCGTCGGTGGCGGCGGGCTAGGAAGAAGTCTGAATTTTAATACAGTTCGAATGCCTCCGCCTCCCATCCCGGCGGGCGCCCTGACCTCGATCGATCAAAGCCCAGATCATTGCGACAAAAAGAACACCACAACACGCGGGCAATCCATTGACAGGGCAAATGCGATATATTGCGATCTGGCTTGCATCTCAGGGGCAACAGCGAGCCACGCAGTAAGATTGAGGATTGCAATGCTCTTCCCCGAATACGGTGCTGACGACGGCACCGACAGCCAACGGCGACCATGTTCCTGGGGGAGCCTTGCATCTCACTCACGCCAGCTGTGGGATTGACGGGGGCCACCCTGGCGTCCCCAGGTTCGTCCGACCCCGCGCCAAGCTGGCTGTGTGGGCTAGCAGGTGGTAAGCTAAGTCCTCCGCTTGGCCTGTTCCAGCTGCGATGACCGTCATCCTGGAGGGGACTAAGCCAATCTCCAGCTTCTACGAGGCCTCTCTCGGGGTGCCAGGTACCTCCAGCACCCTGCTCCGACATGGAACACGCTCTCGACACCATCCTAACCAATCCTGCCCTCCATCACCCCTGCCCAAGCCATGCGACAGTCCAGGCTTGCGGCGCCCCGACGAGTCGATGACTGGCTCTGCTCCTTATTCCTACATTTTGCCGACTCTTCATCAATGCCCGGCCCGTCTTGTTCTGTCTCTTTTCCTCCTTCAGATCATGTTGGTTCGGACAGTCGACACCACTCGCTTGTGCTCACCCGTAGATCATCCTGGTCAGGAGCCTGCACGTCTCAAACAGGAAGTCGACTCGAGTCGGCCTCGACACATTCCTTTCACGCGGAGGAGAACGGATACTTGAGGATTGGCCCATCCGATATTCACGGTCCCCAGACGACGACCTCCGCCCGACCGTACTGGTATTGATACGAGACTCGGAACACCTCTGCACACTTTGAACAACAAGATGGATCAACCAGAAGAGAAAGTCAGCCTGGACAAAGGCGACCTCGATCTTCTCAGCATTATTGAACGTACGTGTTCGGTATTTTCGCTGCTGGGATGCGTCTTCATCATCGTCACGTTCTGCTCGTCGAGAGCGTTCCACAAGCCAATCAACCGCCTCGTCTTCTTTGCGTCGTTTGGCAACATGATGACCAACGTCGGTACACTTATGGCGAGGTCATACATTGAGTCGCCATTGTCGCCGGGCTGCCAGCTTCAGGCGTTTCTGATCCAGATGTAGAGCCGCCTCCCGCCTTTCGAGACTTGGCTAACGACCGCAGGTTCATGCCAGCCGATGCATTTTGGACGCTGACCATGGCCATCAACGTCTACCTGACCTTTTACTTCAAGTTCGACGCCGAGAGACTCCGCAAGATGGAGATCCCGTACCTCATCTCATGCTACGGCATCCCCTTTGTCCCGGCTTTGACCTACGTCTTTGTTACCAATGGGCAGGGCCAGAGGGTGTACGGAAACGCAACCCTCTGGTGCTGGGTGACGCCGGATTGGGAAATCTGGCGCATCCTGACGTTTTACGGACCTGTTTGGTATGTTTGTTCTCTCTGGTGCACAGGACTACCACTCACATTTCCAGGATCGCGATATTAATCACGTTCTTCATCTACATCCGAGCGGGCCGCGAAATCTACCAGAAGCGCAAGCAGCTTCACAACTTTAGCTCTTCCGATCCGGACCATCTCAACTCCTTTCATGATGCCCTCACTTCGATGAAAACCACCGAGGTGTACGTCACGTCGGAAACGATTGAGCAGCCCAGCGGCTCCGTCGGGCTTGGGTCGATGGCAAGGCGTGATGGATCAGACGCTGGATCGATGCCGCGCATGCCCGACGCCGCTTACTCTGTCAGCATCTCTGCCAACCACCACGAACGCCGCGAGTCTCACGGCGACGCCGTTCTCCCAGCAGAGAGCATCACCATCGAAGCCAACCCCGCCCAGCGCCCGGTGAACTCGGCCAGGCGACGCAACTACGAGGTCAACAACGCCGCTTGGTCGTACACCAAGTGCTCCATCCTCTTCTTCACCGTCATCCTCATCACCTGGGTCCCGTCGAGCGCCAACCGCGTGTACTCGGTCATCCACGCAAAAGAGTCATCGACGCCGCTCGCCTTCATGAGCGCCTTCGTCCTGCCCCTCCAGGGATTCTGGAACGCCTTGATCTACGTGGTGACGTCGTGGAAGGCCTGCAAGACCCTCTGGACCGACATTCGGTATGCGTCCCGGCGGCCAGACGTCACGGAGCTTGTCGGCAGCTTCCGCCACAGCGACCAGTTCAAAATTCCGAGCCCTAATCGCAGGAACAAGACGTACGAGAGCGAAAGCATCACGGAGCTCACGAACAGCCGACCCTGCTCCAACGACCAGGCCTCGCGGTCATGAGATATGCAATTGAAAGGATGAGCGTTTGTGGAAGATACCCGGTTTCACCAGCAGACATGATTTTGCACCATTTCACGATTTTTGTTGGAGTTGGCGGCACTAGTTTCTTTTGTCCCAGATTATTTGTCACGAATATACTACCACCATTTACGTCCTTTGCAAAATCGGCCCTGCGTGAAGTATTTAGCCCAGGTGGCGCGAGACCAAACACGCCACTCCCACGTGCTGTCTCGAGATCAGCCCGTGTTCCTGCTTATCCCAACGGTTCGTTCCTCCCGAAAGTCTAACTCTGCCCATTTGTTCGTCTCGTCTGCCTCAGTAGCGCGCGGGCGGTGCTCGCTGCAGATGCACCATGATCGGCGATGGACGGTCTGTGAGCAACGTTCTAGCGAATCGAGCATGAAGCGGCGGACAGAGAGAACCCCTTGCCGTCTGCTCCGACGGCTGCAAGGAGCGTTTTTCTGTGGCGCCGCGTCTGCCAAGGGGGATGTGTGTTTTTTTTCGCCGTCCTGAAGCCAAGGGAAAGATTTAATAGATTGAGAGGTTCCAAGACGAAATATCCATGGATGCACCTCGCAGGGTCGCCCCTATGCCCCAGACAGGGATAGGCTGCAGGGCAAGCCACGCTCCAGCCCAGCGCGGTCGTCGCTCCACTGCTGCTCCCAAGATTGCCAGAGAAAAGCTTCCACCTCTGCTTGTCCAGCGTCTTGGCTTGAGTGCAAACCAACGTCAAGCTTTTTCCGGCCCCGCTGCTTCATAAACTGCGAGTCAAGACGGGGACAAATTTTTTTTTTTTTAAAAAGTTGTTTGGTTCGTGCACCTCATTGACGGCCGGATATGTAGCAGACTCTGTCCCTGTTGTCCGTCACGCAGCGGATTGACAGGCTTCTGATCCTTACGCGTGTGCTCTTCCTCGAGCCCTGCCGACGGGCTCAACCAGGGAATGCCGCGACGAAGATCTCTGCCAAAACAAGTGCGAGCATTGTTCCAACACGAGAACAAAGCACCGTCCATGGAAACATTGTCTGCTCCTGGCGATCCGTTTCACCAGGCGACAAGCATTGCTTTTCACTCGACCGAGTGTGCGTCATTGACTTCACGGACGGGTACTCGGCTAGAGACAACGACCGTAAGAAACGAAGACTGCAAAGGGGGTTTGCAGGCAGATTACAATCTGGAGACGGAAACCAAAAATCATTGCTGTGCAGCGCTGACTCGCTCTGCATCCAGACTCGTCCGACACACCATCCCAGCTTTTGTTTAATTACCCGGCGACGGCACAGCAGCTGTCAAATGCCCTCCAACAGGACAGGTCCGACACGAACCGGCTCCAACTGCGGCAGGCGTCTGTCGAGGTCGCATTGGATGCAACCGGTCACCGTCCACCAGCCGTGGTTTGTGCGTCGTCTCATGCCGTTCTTCCCATCCCCAACCGCAGGCACGAATGACACGGTGGCATCGAACTACAGCCTCCCGACTTGACCGTTACGGCGCGGCGACTGCCCAACACCCCGGCCGGAACGCGCGTGTCTTGGACGGTCAGTCAGTCACTTCTCACCGTCTGCAGCGGTTGTGGCTGGAGCCTCACGCCGGTTGGGGCGCAGGTCAAAGCGCGCAGGATCGTATTGTCCTGTATTGTGACTGCTGAATCCATACTGTGAATGCATCGCCAACGCCTGCCAATCCGTCTGCAAGGGCCAAAGCGCCAGGACAGGCACGCGTACAGCATAACAAGGCACCCTGCGCCCGGGGTCGCCGTCGCACGACTTCCCTTCCGCAACCGCTTCACTGCATTCATGGCACCTGGCACCACCGATTCTTGTCGATGCCTTGCCGTGGACGCGAACCGATGACAATCGCCTCATCATAAGGGACGAGTGGATTGTGCGGGGGGGCAGGGATCACGTTGCCGTTGACGTGGGGTCCGATGGGATCGTCCAAGTCGGGATCCTATGGCGAGCAGGGTGCCAGTTCGACCACCGACCGATCCGGACTCATCAGAAACATGATGAACACAAACTCTAACTGCATGTCCGCGCACCACACGACATTTACCATTACGGTATTGTAGCCCATTCTAACCTGCGCTTACATAGCCATAGCCAGTCCAACGATTGATTCCAAGGTGAAAAAGTAGCTCAGTCCCGTAAACCTGTACCTCTGCCCAGTCCCCAAGAAACCCGATAAATGCGAGTACAGTACAACGGCGAACATGATTTCACACCACGTCCCGGCGGATCTGCCGACCCCGAGCAACGTGAGGCGAGCGGCGCATGGCCCTCTTGGGTATTGAGAAAGAAATGTGGCCCTCCAACGCCAAATGAGAAAACATTTGCTCCTCCAAGTGTTTTTTGTTTGCAGACAATCACGCATCCTTGACTGCCTCGATGATGCTGTACTCCCACGAGGTCTTGAGCTGGTCGCACTCCTCCGCAATGTCGGGGTGCTCCCACCACCACCTGTCGGCCGTGATGAACTGTCCCCACACCTCTTTCCAGAGCATGCGTCCGACCAGGCTGCGGAGCTCCTGCTTGATGGCTTTCTCCGCGAGCTGCTCAGAGTCGGTCGTCGCCGTGTCCGGCTTGTCGGTGGGCGGGATGGCGAAGAACTTCACGGTGGTGATGGTACTGCCTTCAGCACGGAGGGAAGCGTCTGCCAGCCAGAGAGGGAACAGCTTGCTCGGGTTCATGCAGCGAAAGTTCTTTTCCAGGTTGAAGATGAGGTTGTCTTCGATCCAGGAGCGCATGCGTGGGCCCAGAGTGCTTGTGACGGGGAGGGGGTCAATGAGTGTGAGGTGGAACGTGCCTCCCTGGGCAAGGCAGCGGTGGACGTTCTTCAAGAGACCGGGCACCTCGGGCGAGGGGAGCAGCGCCGGGAGGCCGAGAGAGTACACCGCGCCAAAGAGCGACGAGGCAACGGGGAAGGCCGACGGAGAGATGGCCGGGGCAAGGACCGGATGAATGTTGGGGAACAGGGTGTGGGACAGAGGAGATGACGAGAGGTGGTAGACCTGCTTGTTGAAGTGGACAGCTGCCAGGTACGAAGTGGTTGCTGGAGGCGTTAGTCTGGTCTCTCGTACAGGCGACGGACACTCACCTTGCGTCTCATAGAGAGCAAGAACCTTTCTTGCCTTGGCCGGCGTGATCTTGTTGGGGGCGTTTCGCGTCTGGTCCGTGTCCATTGGTTTATCCATGTTGTGCAGGGACGAAAGCATCCACCGCTTCTTTTCCATCTCCAGCTCCTTGTAAAGACTGGCGTCGTTCGTGTCGCCCCAGACCTCCTTCAACCGCAGCAGACGTATGCTGGAGCTGGCGGCGGCCATCCGCCTCACCTCGCGCTGCATCCCGTTAAGGTCCATCGACAGGGAGAGTCCGGTTTCGAGCTCTGGCGTTTCCTCAATGACGTCGTCCATCATGGGCGTCCGCACCTCGGCAGGAGAGCAGTCCCAGGCGTCGGGTGGTTTCCAGGCGTCTGGGTTGTTGGGCTTGAAGGAGGTAGTCCACGATGGCACACGGCGGAGGGATTGCCTCGGCGTGGGCTGTCCCGGAAAGAGGTTGACGGGGCTGTCCACGAAAGCGGGCGTTTGCGGTCTGACTGGTTAGCGAGGCTCCCCGAAAGGACGGTGCACTTACTGTATGGCTGGAGACCGCGGCGGCGTCGGCGGCTCCTCTTTGACAGGCTCTGCCGTTATGGTGACATGGGAGACCATGCCGGCCAACTCGTTCTCGGTGGTCCGGGGGAGGATGGTCACCTCGGTGCTTTTGGTGATGAACGACGTGGGCCCAAGGGTCTGCACGTAGTGGGAGGCTTTGGCGGCCGACGACTCGGCCACGGACGCGGTGCATGGCGAACACGGGACCGCCAACGAGGGCTCTGTCCATTTTGAATTGTCTGTCCATTTTGAAAACACGGAATCTATGAAACCTGGTATCAGTGAGCTGTGGCAAGGCTGACGATGCGTACGCAAGTACCTCTGTTGGAGCTCGGAGAGCTCTGCGAGTCCTCGATGAAATGGTCGGGTATATAAGTGCGATCCGCCGTGGCAACCGTTGTGACTGGGCTGCAGGGTAGCTCCGACGGGGGCGGCTCCGAGCCTGCACACAGCAGCGAGCCTCTGCGCGTGCTGTCGATACTTGGCGCCTTTAGAGCCGATGATTTGGTGGACGGGGTAAACGTCTTCTTAAGACTCCTGGATCCGAAGAAACTGAACGGCTTGTTGTCGGAGGACGATGAGCTGCGGGTGGACATGGAGCTTCTAGCTGCGCGAGACTTTTCCTTTTGCTCTCGCTCGGTGGCCTTGCGGTCGCGATGCTCTTTCCTAGACTCCCTATCGGGGTCTGTCCAGACAACCTCCCACATGGCGGGCGGTGGGTTTTCGAGAAGACGGGAGTGACGAAAGAAAGGGTGATGGCGGTAGCAATGCTGGATATAAGTGGACGAGAGGACGATTCGAGACTCGGAGATGCAGGTGGCGCCCGGTGAATGGTCTCATGCCCGAAATTCGGAAAAACAAGACGTGGATAGTGTTTTAGCACCGAGGAGGACCGGGAGTCGTTCGTCTGATGGTGGGCGTGGAATTGGGTGGTGAAGATGAAGTTAAGATACAGTTGCAGTCGGCGTTAGGAAGTCGCAGGTTGGCAGGTAAAACAGCCGAGACGCCCGGGTGCCCGAATCGTCGAGGAGGACTGCCAAGGTAGAACAGAGCGATGCAAGGAACCGAGATGACGAGCGTCGGCGGAACTGAAGAAAACAACAAAAGGGAAGCTATCGTCTGCGAGAGGTGCTTAATAAAAAAAAATATAAAAAAGAGGGATTCGAGACGAAGGCAGGAACGACAGGCCCAAGAGGCAGGAGTTGCGGGAAGAGAAACGCCGCTAGTGTATCAAAGGGACACGCGCGCGCACCGATTCAGGTACCAGTGCGAAAGGGCTGATGGGGATGGCAGTTTGACAGTCAGCATGCGGTAGTCGTTCCTACCCGTCGCCAGTCGTTCTGGCAGC